GATTGGTTGGCTTGGCTACACACTGTCCTTTCAGGCTGAAGGATAGTAAACACTGCCTTAAAGTTCCTACTTGGAAAAATTTCCTGGAAATTATAAGTTTTATAGGCCATTTGCCTCAACTGATAACAAATTGATCTTTATTTTAAAGGACTACTATAAACACTTACTTTTCTTATTTCCTTTATTCTTGTTCGTCTGAAGCTAAGCAGTTAAATATGAAATCTTTATTACCACAATGAGCTGTAGTTTGAAGTAAATACCTACAAAATTCAGTCTCAAGATCTGCTTTAATTTTTTGACTATGAATATCAGACAGAGTTAAATAAATTGAGAAGTTGTATGATAATTAGCTCTGCTATATAACAGATCTCTGCAGACGCTATGATCTTTGCAAAGTTTATTACCTCATTTTGATTCCATGAGACTAATTGCAGTCATAACAGTGAATGATAAATTTAGCATATAATCAGCATGTGACATCAGCTGGGATGTTAATGTAATTCTGTCTTGTGACATCCTAATAAAAGTTTAAGGATATGAGCAAATTTTATGCATCTAAAGAATGGATAAATTGAGAATGGATTAAATAATTTTTAATAAAAAGCAGAATTCCAAGTAAGACACTAAACTTCTGGTACAATATAATACTTAGTTACTATAGTATTTAGCTACTATAGAATACAATAATTTCTATCTGGCTTAAATGTTTGTTATTATTATTATTATTACTTTTGAGGACAAAAATGCAGATATTTATTGATGAGACTTCTGAGGACAATTGTCTAAAATAAATAACAAAATAAGAGATGACTTTATATGAAATTTCTAAAATATCACAAAATAAATTCTAAACTTTAGCTGTGTAATTGGTCTACTCCTATAAAATGCAAATATATTGCTAATATGACACCATTTTATGTAACAAACTATGCTGAGAGGAACAGTTACAACTGTCATGCTTAAGGAAAGAATGGGAATTTGCTTCTTTTTCTCAATTTGTTTGAGTAGCAAAAGGAAGGTGCTGTTTAATTTTCACAGTTTTTGTTTACTTATACATTTTTATTTTAATTAGTTATAATAACACTATACTATATATTTAGGTTTTTATTTTTAATATTTTTATATTCTCATATAGATAACTATTTTAATAAATGAATTATATTTTATTAACTAGGTATACCACCGATTTACTAAAGCAGACATTATTGAAGGGAAATTGCTTCTCTTTTTCTCCATTTTAAATTGTGCTGCAAAATATATTCTTATGCATAAAATTCTAAGCTTTAGTGTGCAATCAGGGAATTTTGTCTTCAGACTTCTTGATTATAGGACACTGGACTTCTAAGATTTACTAGGTGTCTACTAGGGAAAACCTAATTAAGATAATTATTATCTTCCATCTAATATCTATTTAAAAATTTAAGCATGCTTGCTCTAAATATACTAATTTAATCTTAGTATGCAATATGTTTAAAGATGATGAATTAAGAACAGATTATTAAATAAAATATAACATCCCATAAATGTTATCATTTCCCTATTAATCAAGCCTACAAACCTGGAGTTCATTAAAATAGTCCTTTTTTTTCTTTATTCATGAAGAATTTTATTTCATTGTCAATATTTTTCTAGGGCTTTTGCAAGTCTTATTTGAAGACTTGCCTTAAAAATTCTCTCCGCTTCACCCTGCTCCATCTCCATCTCTTTCTTTCAATAATTTATCTTACTCCTGAATTGGAGTTGCCTTCTTAGGCCTTCTTCACCTGGTAGAAACAGAAGTACTAATTGCAGAGAAAATAGAACTTTTACTTCCTAATAGTCCCAACTACTTCTCGGAAGTTACTTTTATTAGGCTAATTAGCTCACGGGCCTATTCCTGGGCCAATCACTGTGATCTGGCTGCTTGTAAGGTTGAGGAATGGCATGCTCTGATTACCTTGAGTGCTATTCAAATATGGGCTTGAGTAACATCCCCTGAGAACTTGTTAGAAATGGAGATTCCAGGGTCCTAGCCCACACCAACAGAATCAGAATCTATATTTTAAACAAGATTCTCTGGTAATATGAATTTAGTCTGTGCCCCTAGATGGTGCTAGAAAAGTAGAAAATGAAATGAAGGGAGACCCACCCAAACAGAAAATTAAGGAGAGATGGTTGCCCAAGGAAATCTTATGCTTTTATAAGAAGACAGAAAGAATATCAGGTACACAAAACAACAGGTGTCCATGACAATATGTATTATGTACTAAGCAATTATTATATACCAGATATTGTGGCATTCCTTTTTCCAGATAATAGTGTTCATAATATCTTACAAGATATTATCAGAGGCGTTAAGCTTCAAGAAATAATATAATTTCTTTAATATTCTTGTTGTGTCAATGAGCAAATTAATCTATACTATAATGTTAAATACTGATAAATGTCAAGTAGAAAATCAAGATAGAGAGAGCATGAGCAAGGATGATGAAAGGAAGTGATCAACTTACACAGGAAGATCAGGATAAATCTGGAGAAGTAAAGTTCAATCAAAGACTTGGACATATAAAGAACAACTCATGAAAGTTCCATAGTCACACCATTCCAGGCAAAATGAAACATAAATACACAGCCTTGAGCTGGGAATTTGATTGGCAAGTTTGAAGAAAAGGGAAAGGAAAAAAAGAAGCCAATATGTCTACAATTATAAGAGATAGCAAAGAGTCATTTCATGAAGGATCTTCAAGCAATGTTTAAGAGATAATCAGTTATTCTTAGGGTAGTGGAAAATCACTGAAACCTTTGAGCAAAGGAGTAATATGATTTGATATGTATTTTAAATACATGATTTAAGGAGCAGGCAAGAATGAATACTGTACAGATGGAGAAAATGTCAAATGATGGGGGACAAGTTAGGAGTTTGTTGCAATGTTAATTGAGGCAAGAAATGAGAGGACAGGGCTGGAAAGAAGCAGTAGAGGACAGAGAATATATTGATTGTGAAGGTAGAGGATAGCAATTGCTACTGATGTAAATATGTGTGTGTAAGGTAGATAATTATACTTACCATTTTCTAAATAGGACAATAAGAATGCAGAGGGGGAAAGCCCCTGAATTCACCAAAATATTGAAATAAATCCACAGTTTGTTGTGCATTTTTTAAGGGACAAAACCCAATTTGCAGGGCTAATGCAAAGTGATGCCTTAGAGATGGTAAGAAGGTAAAAGGTGGGCAAGAAGATTTCAGCTTTTTAAAATACTCTCTATTTTTCTACAACAACCACCCTTTGCTAAATCCATTGTGGACAATATTAATTGGCTATTGCAGAATTATATGCAAATGAATCTTTAAGCTTAACTTCCAGTCAGAAAACTACTTATAAAATCCATCTAGGAAAAAATGATGAAGCTAGGACTACTAAATCTTAATACAATGAAAAAGGGAGAATGCTAATAATAACTAAACCATCTCAATTAAATTCACTCTCCTCAAAAATGAAACCAGAACAGTAAAACTACCTATTGACTTTATCCTCTGAGAATCCAGTGCTTTCTTTATATATACTTTTGAAGACTGTATATTATCATTTTACTTGTTGAAACATTTAAGATATTCTTTTTCTGGTCAACTTTGTTATTACAATTTTTTTGAGTTTGGTTCTTTAAAGGTTGCACTCCAAAGTTAAAATTCTGGATAAAAAGGTTCTGAAAATAATTATTTATCTGTTTTTAAAGCCCAAAGACCTTGTTGTTTTCTGTTCAATCATTAACTAAGGTAATCAATATTTTCTTTTGAAAGGAAGTAGTATTGCTGCTTAATTACATTAGAATGTGTTTTAACAAGACTATGGCATTTAATTTTGAATAAACAAAAATTCTGAGGAGACACAGGAGGTGGAGCTGTTGGGCAATGGACATAGAGAATGATGCTGCTTTTGAAAATTATGACTTCATCATGGGATTAGTTGCAGACATCCTGGTGGTATAAATCAGTGTTCCTTACTTTATAGAGTGGTTATTTAGTGTCACTGCTTGCTTGGGATACGACATCATAAACACTAAGTTATTTCTTTTCTATGTCAGAATCTGGTGCTTATTGGCCTTAAAGAAATAAATTAAATATTAAAAGCTTTTCAAATAACCTAAGAAATAATTGCTATCTTGTCACTGTTATTTAATTATTTCAGTTAAATGTTACTTTTATTACTGATAATGAATAAATCTTGTTACCATGATGTGGTTTATAAAAAAGTAATAGCATTATTCTTTTTATTTTCTCAGGGTAAATATCCTTTCATGGTTTTGAATAAAAATGTTTCTTGAATTAAAATATTCTGCTTCTATATAAAATAAAATTAAGCAAATATTAATGTATACCTGTGAATATATTCCTGCCCATTTGTTTATGTTAGCTTCCTTATGCTAATTTATTTGCTAACTTGAGATGGATTGCAATGATTCATACATAAAATAGCATAGAAAAAAATGATAATGAAAAACAGTCAAGTCTGTAGTAAACCTAGATACAAGTTCAAAAAGAAGGAAAGGTTAAAATATATGTGCAGTGCTTCATGATGATCGTATTTATATAAACTTCTCATAAAACGTACAGATGGTGAGTGAATTACTCTGTAGGGAAAATATGAGCATTAACAGCATTGAAATTTTTATTGAACAGAAACAGACACATTATTACACAGTTCAGTTAAGCTTTGATTATGAGATACTAAATTCATACCAATTTACATTTAGCTGATTATTCATTCCAAGAATTACAAGCACTTAAAATAATAAATATTTGCATCTCAAAAGTCATAACCAATGCAAGAACTTATTTTTATATCTATTTAATTTACTAATTGGATGGCACTAAGAAAACCAGTGTAGTAACAGCTGCACATGCAATTGAATTTGATGGAATTATAATTACAGAAAAAAAATTGATACCAATGTAAACATAGTGAAATAGTGCTAAAACAAAAGTAGCACAAAGTGACTTATGTTTCTTTGAAAACTTCCAGGTGTTGTCAAAGTGGATTATGGCGATGTGTCAGCCAGAAAAACACTAAGAGAAAACCTGAAGTGTAAGCCCTTTTCCTGGTACCTGGAAAACATTTATCCGGACTCCCAGATCCCAAGACGTTATTACTCACTTGGTGAAGTATGAACTATTTATTTTGCTTAAGTTATAAATATATTTTGCAAATGGAGCAATTTCTAACGAGTTCAGTATTTTTTCAGTTCATAAAATGGTGAAAGGGTTTTTAAACAGATCTATTTTAAATGATTTCTCATATTTTTTTAAATGACCATAAAGTTCTCTAGTATAGAAAATTGCAAAGTGAGAGAAAATTTTAAGATTGAACAAACAATAGTTTCTTGTTTCTTTACCAACACTTCTAAAACTTTCTGTTACACCCTTAAAATTAATTGTGGACTCCAAGCAGTTTTTAAAATGTGGATTATAACTATTAGTACTTATCATATTGAAAGTAAAACTAAGAATTTGAAACTTTATCAATTCATTAAAATAATGCAGTAACCAAATCTATAATAGCATATTTTTTTTTAAAAAGGTATATTTTCAAATAAAACTCTAAGAATGAAATGCACTAATAATCAACTATATTTTTGTAAATTTAATTAATATCTGGCTTGACAGAAGACAGTGGATTCTTACATTTCCTTCAGTCTTCATTCTGTTACAATATGACATAATCAAAAATTTACACACATGAGAAAGTGAGTGAAAACTGCAGTTCTATCTTCGTGTTGTTATAGAAATGGTCTGACTTTCATTGATCTGTACCACATTCTTCCAGAATGTTCACTTTATTTAAAAATCCACGGCTGGCTTTGTGATAACTATAATGCATGCGTATAATATATATTTAATTGCTCAAAATAAGAACAACTTTCTTTATGAAGTATATGCTTCATATTGGTACTTTTCCACTTAGCAGGGATTAAATTTTTGAATCAAATTTAATTTAATTTTGCTTGCAATAAGGAATTTCCATAGCAATAATGTAATACATTTAGGAAATACTAATGAAGCATTAGGTTAATTAAGAATTTAGATTTAAATTGCCATTTTTGTTGGTTACAGTAGTAGAACATCTAATAATTAATTTGACTTAATATAATATTTTTTGTCATTTGGTCATCTGCAACTCTGTGATTTTATTTATTATTTTATTTTATTTGTAGTACTGCAGTTTGAACTTAAGGCCTTGCACTTGCTATGCAGGGACTCTGTCCCTTGTGTCATGCCTCTAGCTTTTTTTGCTTTAGTTATTTTTCAGGTAAGATCTTGTGCTTTTTACAAAGACTTACTTTGGCCACAATCTTCCTACCTTTGCTGAGTTGCTGGAATTATAGGCATGAGCCACCATGCCTGGCTGTCTTGTGACATTATCAACATAGTTTGCTTTTAACTAACTGGAAAATTATAACAGAAAAAAATTATTCAAAATAAATGGAGCCCTAGCTGAGTTGTTTTCAATGACTGTTTTGTGTACTATGTCCATGCCCTGTTGGCAAAATCTCTACTTCCTGCTTAGCTATGCCAATATCTCTGCAAACAGTCTTTCACTTGACATATGTTTGATCAGAATACTATAGTGAAAAGTTTTATGTGGAATACAAACCAAACTTACCTGTGACTTTAGACTAGTCACTGACCAGTCCCATTTTGGGGAGGTTTGTTTATATTACAGAGTTGTTGCTATGTTTTCCAGTGTACAATATCACCATGTTACCTCCAAATTCATGGATTTGTATTCAATCTGAGGAATCCATGAAAGTGCTTTTTAAACTAGAATACTCCGTATGTTAGTTTCTATAATCCACTGAAGATCTCCAATAAAATGTCTACTATTCCATCTCTATTGAAAAGTTCCTCTGCATGTACAGGAACCTCACTATTCCCTTAGAAGAAAGGAGTCTTTCTATTCTTGTTATAAAATATTCTCCCACTGTTGTCAATGGATATGAAAGATGAATAACATTTTTTCAGAACGATGTGTGATCAGAGACTACAAAAGCTAGAGACCAGCAAAGAGAAATTCTTGGAAACTCCCTCAGGCCACGGGGTGACTACTGAGAAAGATTTGGGGCTCTGAAATAAAAGAAGATGTTTACTTGCAAATTAAAAAATCTAATTTTATGCTTTGCTGCACTACACCAAAGAAACCTAATTGACTTTCATAAAAAGTAAAATTATAATGTGGTCAAGTCCTCTCTGCAACCTACTGATTCTGAGTTAACTATCTTTTGTGATGGATCAGGTGACTATGTTTTAATTTACAGAAATGCTTTGTGAAAAACTTTTACAGAGAGACATTGTATCCTTCAGCATATTTAAAACATGTGCAAAAGAGGTAGCATGGTGTATTGGAAAAAATCCCAGGGCCAATGATCAGGCAATGAAAGGTTTGTTTTCAATTTGAGTGGCACTAGGTATCCCCTCAGTACCTCTGTCTGCACAATGAAGGTAAAATACAGAATGAAGGTATAGTACGAGGTTCTAGGGATGATTGAAAAATGCATCTGTCACAATGCATGACAAGAAGTAGTTGCAACCTCAGGAGTTACACTTATTATAATTATTGTATCTTCCATATACTGATTTTTTATGTTAAAAGAAGTTTCTGGGTGCTTTAATGGATTATGTTATTAAAAATGACAACTCTGTGTCTTGGATTTTATTATTGTCCATCAATTAGTGAAGAAACTGATATGTAGAAAGTTTAGGTGGTTGGCCTGTGGGTCACAGAGGATTCAAATACCTGTTGGTCAAACACTAAAGCTAACTCTTTTGTTATAACTACAAGGAGAAAATAGATCATTTTATTCATTCAAAATGCTTTTACTTTATACCAGCTTGACTGAATCCTGTGCTATGTGCTGAGGATGCAAAATTAAATAAAGACCTTTATTCTTAAGCCATTTCAGTAAAGTAGGGAGGGGATGGCAAGGGATAACCAAGATAATGAACACCAGTAGAAATTAGAGGTGACTTACATGAACCATATGGCAGTTAGGAACTGTTGCTTCAAAAATCCAATAAATTTTAAAATCCATGAGATATATTAAGTTTTGAGCTTTCTGGAATATTAACATACTGTAGTTTTCTTCTTTAAAACCAGGCTTTAAGGAAACTTCAGCCAGCATCTGTTTCCATGGAAACTGAAGGGCAAATTTGACAAACACTACTTTTCAATTCAATTTTGTGTAGCCTTGTGTGTGTGTGTGTGTGTGTGTGTGTATGTATTTGTATATAAATATGTATATATATTATGGATGTCATGATAATAAGTTAGTATTAAACTGTTAACAAAAGCCAATCATTTATTTAAGACCTTTTCTTTCTTATTCTTTGTTATTAATCATTTTTGGAAGAATGTAAAAAGCTGTATTTCTATATATATGAAGGCACTTTCTCTCTAAGCTGTCCAAGACACTTGTCACCAAAATAACAAATTATTTCTTTCTTTCATGTACTTCTCTCATAAGTTACAGCAAAATCATCAGGATATCATTTGTACAGTCTGTAAACTTCACTGTTTTTCAAAGGTCCATGTAATTAATATTCTGTATATTTGTAAATAAAAACATTTTTCTATCAATTTTTCTTTATAACTTTCAGTGCTCTACTGGAAAGTGTAGAGGAAAAAATGGTATTCAATTTCCCTATTATCATCTATCACCAACAAAATAATCATCAGTAAAGTTATTGATATCGGAGAGTTATATCTTAATATCTTATATGTTTACATCTTGTTCAGATAATTGAAATACTGTTTCACCCAGCTTATGAATGACATGCATTTTCTAATGGGAACTTAAAAGCTATGCAACTGCTTTGAACTAAAACCTTTAAGTAACTTAATGAAGCATGTGCCTTTTAGACTCAGTAAGCAGATCATAATGGAATCAGGCAGTTGAGCTCTAGCAGCATTAAATTCTCTCTTAACTAGCCCTTTAGCTCATGTAGATTTAACATGCCAAGTCCTGATCTCAAAAATATAAAGACTAATTCAAGTACAAGATTGAAAAATGACATTCTATAATAGAATGTCCTGGCCCAAGTTTTAGTGCTATGCAAGAGTAGAATTCTGAAAAAAAAATATTGTGAGCTATTTGCAACAAGGGGATATCAGAGGGCAAAATGAAGGAGAAGAGGATTTCTGGAGCCAAGTGACTTAATTCTTGGTACTTAAAATTTGCATTTGCATCCTGCCTGAAGATGTTTTGTCATTAGTCTGTGCACTTTGCATAGTGTTCTTGACCTCAGCACTTCCTTTTCTTCTCACAGCCTTTAACCATAGCAACTTACTCATGTCCTAGTACCTATGGTATTATATTTCCTAAATATTTTTGAAGAGAAAATGTAAATAACTAAAAATAGATGTTTATAAGGCTGACAGGCTGCAGCGATTAAGGGTAAAATCAGTTACTCACAAATGCAGAAGCTAAAATGCTTAAAGGTTTATTCTCCTTAGTAATCAGATTTATTTATAGATTCATAGTGTTCTTCACCCTTTAATACGATAACCAGTAAAAAGGTCACTTACACAAATGTGGTCATTCCCTCTGTCCATTATTTCATTTCTAAACCATTTGGAGACCCAGTAACTAATTTCCATCCCAAAGTAGTTGAGTATGCACATCTATAGGCAAGAAAATGTCATTCTTCATCAAATGTTAATCTTGAAGAATGCTGGGCTAGGTAACTTACTCATGAAAAATTGAAAGCTATTTTATTGCCTGAAAAAATATTCTTTACTTCATTTTTCTGCTAATTAGACTGGAATTAATTCTAGTTTTATTACCTAAGCATGTTTTGACACAAACAACTACAACAATCTCAATTAGTTTGGCATTTACTGAATTCTCTAAAGATTTTTGTTGTTACTATTATTACCTACCAAAAGAAAGGAAATTGTTCATTTTCTTTGTTCCTTTTGTGGAAGGAGATTAATGTTTCATATAACATGAGCGGTTAAGTACCATAAATAGTAATCCAGGGCATTCTACACCCTTGTAAGCTTGAATCTGTTACATACATAGATTTTGCACTCATTCTTTTGATTTATTCACAAATCTATAAATAAATAATATACTCCAATTCATACCTACCAGATCAATAATATTAGG